GCATAAATTTTGAGCAATATTGCCTTATTTGAAGCTGGTTCTTGACATGGCAGTTAACTGTATTGTTATTGGAACATAGAGGGAAAGGTAACTCACTCAAGCGTTAAGGCGGAAGCAATTTAACGGAAGGTCCGTATTGACTCTCAGTTTCCATGGAGGCTGAAAATTAGACTTTCATTTGTTTGTGATTGCTGAGTGTTGAGATTCGGCGCCTCTGGTTTAGTGCCACTTCTGTCAACACTGAAGTATTCAAACGGAAGGGGCACCAACAGCCATTTCATTTAGTAAATATAACAGATTCATTACAGTGGTAAAGTCTAAGCATTTTTGACCAAATCTATGTTTAGTGAACACAGTTCGTGTTAAACCAAAGTCGCTGCCCGTGTTTTAAAAGCACAGCGTTATCGGACAATGAACTGCTGAATTTTATGGCGAAATTCATGTCACTCCTGTTTCTTATTCAGTGGGGATTTTCTCATTTATTGTTTCATCTTTCCACTTCCGCCTACTGAATGAAGATTAAAGTAAGACACGACTCACCTTCCTGCACAAGTTCATCTTGCATTTGAACATCATTAACAAATTACTTACTTACTTACGGAGCTGAGCCCTTCTTGAGGAGAAGCCAATTCTGCAGCTAATCAAGAATTTCCCAGCATTTTATGGAACCCGAAGGTTCATTAGAGTGTTCACGAGAGCCCTCAACTGGTCCCTATCCTGAGCCAGATCAATCCAATACATACAATGCCATCCCATCTCTCTAAGATCCATTTTAATATTGTTCACCCTCGTACGCCTTGGTCTTCCTCGTGTTCTCTTTCCTTCTGGCTTTCCACCAATATCCTATATGCATTCCTTTTCTCCCTAATTCGTGCTACATGTCCTGCCCGCTTCATCCTCCTCGACTACATCATTAACAACAAACAAGACAAACTCCGTGATTTCAGTCCGCAAGCAAACCATACCGACCGAGGGACCGCCGCTTGTCGACGAAGTTTAGAGCCAACTTTTGCGGATAGAGGGTGTCGCGTGGTCAGCACAACGAATCCCCACGGCCGTTAACTTCGGTTTCCTAGAGCAGATCCGCTATTTCCTTGAAATAGCTCCTCAATTATCATCACGAGGCTCAGTGGATCCCGTTCCAGACCCACTACTTCTCAGAAAAAATCTGGTACCGCCGGAAATCGAAGACTGTTAATGATTAATTGACTATCCATTTATAAACGCATGGCCGTGATGCGGATTATCATCCATGTATTTCGATTGTCTGCTGATTTCCTAATGACTCTAAGTTGTTCACATTGAGACGAGACCCTGCAGGATAATTGTGAGCAATGAATCGGCAGAGATCGGGATCGGTTTGAAGGTATTCAGCCCCACTGGCCTGGAAAGGTGGAGTGAAACTAAGACGGTCGGCATACGAAGTTCGATACCTTGAGATCCGTAGATGCAAGAAAATGTAGAAGACAGGACACTGCAGGCACTGGATTATGGCGCCTAGAACGCGGCGAAGCGGACGACGACGACGAAAAATTAAACATTGAGCGAGAAAGAGAGAACACAAGACACAATTGAGAACAGTGAATTTATATAGCGAATCTGCAGAGAAGAGACACACAGAAACAGAGAGAAAGGATCGAGGCGAACTGTGAGCAAGGGATTTCCTCTACGAATTAGTGGCTTACTACATTGTATAGCCCCAGACTATTGTTCCTACTCCATCCGCCAGGCAGCAGCACCAGCAAAGTTTAACAACTAACAATAGCTTACAGCTCTTTTCATGGCCCATTCGAACTCTCTTTGTTATCATAGTTCAGATAAGAAGCCCATTCCATGGCCTGCTTCATCCATTTTCTTACGTACAGAACGATACAAATTAGAGAGAACTTCTTTCCATTTGTAGAGTTCATAGTACAAGAAGGTCGTATGAAAGCCTTGCGAAAACCATTCTGCCGGCCGGGCGAGAGGGTCACAGATTATTTGCATCACCCCTCACTGCTCGTGTCGGAACCGTGGCAATGTCGATAGGCCACAAACCAACAAATTACAAATAAGACCCACCAGACGCAGGAAATTGTCCCTCTTGTTATATGCACTTCCTGTGGCATGTTCATATTCATACTGTCGCGTGTTTCCTAGGCAATGCGATATGAAATTGTGTGGGTCTCGGATTTGGATGAATATTTATTGGACGGTCACTCTTTTACAGTCACAAATACAATTATTCGCACTTGTAACGTCTTCGAACGTTTCCTCTTCAGTGTTATACACCCTCGCACCGCTTATCTCGGTGAAGTGTCTTCTGCTCTGCTCGGAGCAGCTCAACTGCTTTAGCTCTCGTCGGACACGAACTCTACTGGTCTCTTGTCGGATGCGAACTGTTATATCCTACACTCGGACTGGACAGGAAACACCTTGTCGAAAAGTTAATTTCGCCCGCTGCTATGCAACGAATCTCTTTGTTGCCGCGGGAATACATTTCGTTACAAATAAAGATGGAAATTCCGCTGTTAGACTTTCATCTCCGGAGCAACGATTTCCTAGGCATTGCTTTCTCCTTGTCCGTTGCGTAGCGATGGATGTATTATAGTCCGGCTTTCGGGCAGCACGTCAAATTACGCTGAAATTCCTTTTCAGAAAGTGAACAAACTTGACACTTTAAACCTTGGTCTCCTCTGCAAGGCGTCTTTGGGATTTTTTAACAGACATAGCACCGACTTCAGTGAGGACTAGGCCTTTCGATTATGTTATTTTCTTCGCCCAATAACGACCTTATCTGCCTAAATTTTATTCAAGTTTTATGAATATCTATTTTCTGTTTGGAACCATAACATTATGAAGTTCATGCCTTCTCCTTACTTTCTCATGAATATGGTGCATGAACGCTCGTTTCACTGTGTAACTCTCACACAATATTTCGTCATAAGGAGTAACTCAACTGGTTGTTTAATAGAGTGAAAGAAGCTTGGATTTATAGTAGACGGGCATATAACGCATAACAACACATAAGCTCCCTTCACAGCGGCTGTTCAAAGATTTACTGGAGGTGACACTGGGAATAATTGTAATGTGTGTAGTCCACTGGCCTGCACGCTATACCACGAGTCCGATCACGCGCAGCCGCTCTTCCTCTCGCCCGATCGGCCGAAGGATTTTCGGGAGGGTCTCAGAAGGACTTCATGTACATAAAATAACCGAAAATATACCGTTCCAGGATATTAAATAAAAATGGAAACGACAGGAGGAGTTGGTTTTCGATAATTAGTCTCTTGTTTGTTTTAGTTACATACCGCAAGCATGCTGACACAAAATCACAAAAGTTACAAAATGCAACGTCACTTCGACTGGTACTAGCATTGCTATTCGTGTCAGAATGCAAAGCTCGGACACTGTAGCACAGTTACAACACGTCAGACCCGTCAGACCCGCAGATCTATATGCTTCCGAACCAGATTTATCTTTTGGACTTCTAGTCTAGACCACAGAGTGTGATAGTGAAAATGTAATTATGTAAAATATAACTAATTCCGAATGTTTGAAATTAATTTATGTCGGCTTAATTATTTATGTCGTTTAAAGTTTGAAATAGTTAATTTCCTTAGCAACAATCGCCGAAGACAGACTCCAGAGGTCTCGTACAATTTGTAAGATGTGATTCATCAGAATTCTATTGATAAAAGTCAGCAACTCAGTTCAAAATCTGTTTCTATGTGAGGACCCCTCAGAGCTGTATTTACCTGTTTCTATGGATATGAAGCCGCATGACAGGGTTTATCTCACTAAAAGTTCGTGACGAAAGTATGTTAATATGATGATTGATTCTCTGGGCATTATTCGTCATTTTAAATAACAATTAGGATGAAAAATGCCTTTTTCTGGGATATGGCGCCGTGTAGATCTTGTGTGAACCGACACTTCGGAAGAGGTTATCGCCTCAATCTTCAGGGTAAGAAAATTCGATGAAGACTGCAGCCACCTGCTCACGCTGGTTCCTCGCTTGCAGATTTTTCTATCCTGAAGATGGAGGCGATAACTTCTTCCGAAGTGTCGGTTCACACAAGCTCTACACGGTGCCATATCCCAGAAGATGGCATTCTTCATGGTCACCGCTGTGAAAACCTTAAATCTTACAACAATTAGGATGATGGATAAATACGAGAAAGCAAAACACTTGAACCGCGTTTAGCTTGATGACGGCTCCCTATCGGCTCACAGCCCCCCACTTCGCAACAAATTTAAATTTAAGTCTATTATGCAGAGTGATTCTATATTAATGTCGGGGTTTCCGTGGTCTATAATTTTCAAACCGGAAACAACAAAATAAAACTGCTTACGGAATATGAAAGTATCAATAAACCAATCAAGGCATCAATGTGGCAAGTACAGCGTTACCAAGTAAAACTTTTTAAGACTCTTCGTGCCCCGGTTAAATCAAATTCATCAATAGTATAGAGACTAGCCGACCGAGTTTCGGTTAAATGAATCATAATAACATGTCATTGCCTTTAATTTAGTAATTTAATATTGTCAACAGCACTTCGTTCGCGAAGACAGGAATTTCATACATGTACAAAACAACACATTAAGTTGTAGTTCAGAAAATTTTATCTTGTGGTTTGTAGAGAGCAGAGTGACAGATTAGGCCCAAAGCAGAAAAAAATGGTGGACTGTACTTTATACAGCATCGTTAAATAAATTATAAACACCAGGGTCGTAAGGTCATAGTGGGTTACGGGTTCCGTGACGAAGTAAAGAGCAGCTTGTTTTGCCTTACGTAATTTTGTTAGAAAGAGTTACGACTCCGCAGGGTAACCGCTACAGTCAGCACAATAAACGAATCAAACCTAGACTTGAACTAGCAACCTGTATTCAGAGAGTGACGTGGTTCCAGCGGTTCTAGCGCCCGGTGTGCAGTAGCGGTTAGACAAGCATGCCACCAGCATTCGGTTGTCATCTCGTTGGCAGGCTTTGAGCTGACGCTTTCTAACCTACACTTTCAGGTTACGCAGGCAAAACGTGCCAAGAAGAAACAGATCCCTGCGCCTCGTCGCCATGTCAGAATGGGGGCACATGCGCACGCAATGGGACGCAATTCCGTTGTGACTGTGGTCCCGGATTTGGTGGACCCCTGTGCCAACATAACCTGAACGAATGCGTCTCCTCACCATGCGTGCATGGAATCTGCGTGGGGCAGCAAGATGGCTACCGCTGCTTTTGCCAACCAGGTAAGTAATTAGTTGAAACACCATACATCCCTTGCTGCTCTTTCTCGCGTTCGAATCTTACTGTAGGATATGTAAGATTTGAGGCTTTCACGGCGGTGACTATGAAGAATGCAGTCTTCTGGGATTTGGCACCGTGTATATGTGGTGTTAACACCACATATACACGGTGCCAAATCCCAGAAGACTGCATTCTTCATAGTCACCGCCGTGAAAGCCTCAAATCTTACATATCCTACAGTAAGATTCGAACGCGAGAAAGAGCAGCAAGGGATGTATGGTGTTTCAACTAATTACTTACCTGGTTGNCTGTAGTTACTGTTCTTCCTTTTACCCTATTTACGCATGTATAGGCCGCACATTTTTTTGCCAAAAATTCAAGAGGAAAACTGGGGTGCGGCTTATATTCGAAATATTCGAAATCACACTTCATTTAAAAAAAATTAAACGTTGCCAAATTTCGGAATAATTTCTACTCCTGAAATAATATTCCAAGGAAATTATTTTTTCTATAATTTCTGTCTGAAAATTGTGCTGCGGCCTATACATGCGTAAATACGGTATTTGTTGTCAATCGAAAGACTGGAAGGCCCACGTCCTCAAAGCATATGAACTGCTCAACAAACTTCTGTGGTGTGACAGGATTCGCCGGCAGGTACTGTGAGTACGAGTACAACGAGTGTGAGTCGTCGCCTTGCATCAATGGCGGGACATGCATGGATCACATCGGCAGTTACACGTGCATCTGTGGACGAGGCTACACGGGCAAGCGCTGTCACGTCAAGGTAGGCCTCTAAACCCAGGGTGCATGGTCATAACGTCTACTGTTGACACGCATTACACTACATGACATGATCATGATAATTCACATTCGTAGCATTTAGAATTCGTGCCGAAGTTTCTCAATAAACGGATACATCTTATATGTTTATTTTTAAGGTGGGTTTCGATTCCCGGCAGGGGCAAGAGATTTTTCTCTTCTCTATAACTTACAGACAGGATCTGGGGCCCACCCAGCCTCCTGTGCAATGGGTACCGGGGGCTCCTTCCCCGACAGCGTGAAGCTGACAACTCACCTCCATCTAATTCCGAGGTCAAGAAGGACGGAGTTATACCTCCACTCTTCCATATGTCTTCATGGCGTAGGGGCAACTATACCTTTACCTTTGTTATTTAATTATGTTACCAGCGTGGAGACTACACAGCGTCGGGACGTAGGACGACTAACGAACGTGGAAGAGTTAGTCAGAAAGCTAGTCAGTAGTCAAGCTGTACACATAGCCATGAATTGACTGTACTTGCGTTTTATAAATAGGGCAAAGTGGCCGTATTCTGGACAGGGTAGCATTGCGGTGGTGGCCACAGGAATTTATTCCTCCTACCCGACCAACTTCTCAGCAGTGGTAGATTGGACGCTGAAGCAGCAGTGTTGCGTTTCCGTTTCTGCCAATTCTGATAGATGTAATATCTTCGCGTGCAAAGCTAAGGTTTCGAATCAGTACGTGAGGTTTAACTTGCATATTGTTTGTACGAAATTCGTTACATACATTCTGACATGCGTTTCCATCGCTTCCAAAAGCTTCGTCCTGATATGCTGCCATTTTCAGATTAGGACTCGCTTGCCCAGTTTCGGAAACTTAACATAGTTGCGACTTCAGAGCATCCGAAATTAGGAACCTTATTTTATATGTTCTTAGCGTTTCATTCATTTTTATGTGGCTGATACCAGAAGAAGGGAATGGAGTCTAGGCTCCATGAGAAGTGCAGTGCGGGCCGTAAAAGACTAGAAAACAGTTCCCTGACAGATACACTGGTGCGAGCATTGCACCCGGTAAGCAGTCGAATTTGAATTGTTATTCGAAATTATTACTTTACATAAAGATGTAACTTGATGTCAACTTCTGTTCAGAAGTATGTGATTATTTTGCACATATTCATGTAATTAACATTTTGCAAATATGGCCGCTTCTGCTTTATAACAAATAAGACTATGTACGTAATGTAGACGTGTTCCTCTCCCTCCTTTCTCTCTATTACAGTTCTTTTTCATGAATTGCATTTCTTAAAAAAAAATATGTTACCTATTTGAAATAAAGAACCACCCCTACTCGAAATTTCGTTACAGTTTTCGCAGACCCTCCCTTTACAACATTGTTTTTAGTTTTCTAATACGCGCTGCCTTTGAGCTCAAAAGAAATGCTAATTCTCATACGAGACATATTGCGCTATCTGACTGCAAAAGCCGTGCCATAGCTCAGGCGGTCAGTTGCTGGCTTCCCACCTCGGCGGCCTGAGTTCGAACCCAGGTAGATCGTGTGGGATTTGTGGTGAATAGAGTGACAGTGGAGCAGGTTTTCTCCGAGTGCTTTGGTCTCCCTTACTAATTCTCATTCCACCGACTGCTCCACATGCATAATCATCATCATCATCTATCATTCGGGGCTGATATAATAGGCCGAAGTACTACGTGGACTCAGTCTCATCCCACCCCAAAGAAACTAAAAAAAAAAACTACCTGAACGCAACAAAGTGTTAATGGTTCGCGATTCTATCAACAAAAAGTATGGCTCCTACCTTATTTTCTCTTATTGCTAGTGGGGTAGGACTAAGCCCCGTGTACTGCGCCCACTTCTGTTATTGGCTCCTACCTTAAGCACGCGAAATCTGGTGCGTTTACCGAGAAATCGCCAAATAAAATATGAGCTCTATCAGTTGCAGTTATAAGAACCTAATTTTAACTCTCCCTGCAACTTCTAGTGCATACCCCTGGTATGAAGTTTAGTGGAAATATGTTCCTGTTCACAGATTGACCTGTGTGACCCGAACCCGTGTCATGACCACCACTACTGCGTGGACCGTGGCAACAACTATTCCTGCGAGTGCCCTAAGGGGTTCGCGGGACCTGACTGCCTCGTTCCATCAAGAGCCGTAAGTGCTGCGAACTGGGCTCGAAAACAGGGCACAGTGGATTTTGTGCGTTAAAGGTTAAGGCGGGCGGACTCAGTTCGATAATCTGCTTTAGCTGGTCATAATAACTCACTGTTTGCTGCAGGGTAGGGCCCTATCGCACTGCAACTCGGGAGCCCATTATGTTCAAGAACTCCAGCCACAGGACCCTCTTTGTGCGCCTGTTCGGACCAGTTCACATTTACAATTCATTTAAGAGCGTCTTAACGGCATCCCCTCCTCTAGAATTATACTTCTCAAGTGATCCCTTCATTTAATGGCTTAAAATCAAAATTGTGCATGTATTTCTTGTTTCCAACATTGGTGTTAGATATCACGTTCATTTCATACCCCTTGATTTAATCACCCTAATGTTCTTCGTTCCCCGGTCATTTCATGTCTCATCTCGCGCCCAAGCTTAAGAACTTCCCACCCGAGCACCACTAACCGTGCCTGAACTGCGTATCTATTTACACAAAACGGGCTGCGTGCTTCCCTGATTCGCTTATAATTCCCAGTAACTTTGGTGTCTGTCAACAGCCGCCTCTCCCCCCATCTTACGCACAGCTGCAACTCTGAACCCCTCTCATATCTGATGATATCAGTGAAAATTAATTTTTATGTCATCTGTCATTTGATTCTATTTGTATTTATTGTTGCTGTAATTGTATGTTCATCGTATTCATTGAGTGTAGTGCGTCCCTTATTGTTTGTGTAGTTTTGTGTGCTGTGTTGTGTTATTTTGTGTGATAGTGTTATTTGTGTGTTGTGTCTTACTGCAGTACCACTGTTACCGAGTAAAACATATTTGCAGTTAAAATATAAAATAATATTTAACATTTCAAGCGAACTATCTGCGATTTGGACCAGTGGAAATTATTGCAAATCGGTGGATATTTGTAAGTAAAGCAAAATGAAGGGAATGAACCTAAACTAATTAAGTAGAGAAAGAGTTAACATTGTAATTCCGAGTCTAAGCTCTTTGAAATCCACTGTTCTGGAATATACCTTACATTGCAGGCGTGCAGTGTGAATCCGTGTCGTCATGGGGGGACGTGCTGGAGCAGTGTGGATTCATTCTACTGTGCCTGCCGACCCGGCTACACAGGCAAGACGTGCCAAGGTATAGTTTTTTTTTAATAAATGAATTTTATCTGTTTATCATAACTAGAACAGTGCACTGGATTAGGGGAAGTTTGCCAACCTGACGATAAGATGAGACCGTTTTTCTTAAGGCAATAGCTGGCCAAGCTGACACATTACACTTAGGCTATAAATGAGATGCAAGGCAAATAAGCAATTATATGTTGAATTGGGTTTATCTAATCTTGTCGTCAGCCTTGGGTATTAGACGTCAAATTCATATCAAATTTATTGCAGGGCATTGTGCCCACTAGAATACAAAGCGAAACTCTCCAGACGTCTGCAGTGTGAGCAGGTTTACTCGTAACACGATTTATATATTTTTCTCCTTGCCGTCTGCTGTTAACAAATTTACACACATGCAAAGCAATTTGTCGCCCTCTGGACCCGAGCAGTTTCCACCTTCACGTTTCACAAAGTCGGCATCAGCCATTTGTAGGGAGAAATCATTGGCGTCGCCGCGCTAACACAGACGAAGTAAAACTGAGTGCAATCTTCCGAAGCAAGGATCTGTTGCGACAAATTGCTGTTCTTACGTTTCCCAGGCAGGGCAATGATTTTCTAATCTATTATTAAAATGGAATTTAAAACTTTCGCCTCCATCAGAAAAGAGGGAATTGCTTTCACTACAGTCTTATAGAAAATAAAAATAACTATATTGCAGATCGTTGTGAAAAAAATAAAAAAGGAAAATCTGACTTGTGCGTGTGCAGTCGTTAAGAGAGGAAGCTCATAATATAAATATACTTTATTCTTAACGCTGGATACTGCACAGTGGTTCACAGTTCTAAGCCTTTAAACACTAAGATACCACGACTGCCTTTTAGCGTTAAATATGCTTGCCCGTACCCCACCCCAAGGCTGAGAAAGTACGCATTAGTCATTCGTGACTCTTCAACAAACCGATCACGGTGGCTGCGCGGTCTAAGGCATCAACTGTCTTCGCCCGCTCAAACACTGGAAGCGTAGGTTCGAATCCAAATTGAGGCATGGCTGTCTGTGTGTGCTTTCATTCTGTGTTTGTGCTATCCTGTGTGTGCAGGCCTTGCGACGGGCTGATCCCCCGTCCAAGGAGTCCTGCAGACTGTGTAAAGAAACGTGGCCAAGATCCAACAAAGGGCTGCAGAGATAGACTTCAACATCGCCAGACACGAATCCCCATTAAACTGACGAAACGTTTTGTGTGTGAACAGAAGAATTCGTGCTGGAAGCGATCCCCAAGGCCTTGCCCAGCAGCAGGGACGGCCAGCTGGATCTCCAAATGCCCATCTCCATCCATCTGGACCACCTGCACAACGTTTTCATTGCGGCGGGAACACTCGCGTGTGCTGTCATCATCGTCGTCATAACGGTGAGGCCCCTCAATAATAGACGTATACGATTTCCAATAATTTTATTAGATTTTTAAAAATTCTCTAATCACCAACGGAAAGACGCACCCTATCAGTTGACTGGTTCCCAAACTCTGGGTTCTCAATCACTTGCAGTGCGCCGTCACTGTCTAATGGCGGATATTTTACGTGATAGGCCTAATATGAAAATAAATATTCACTAAACAATATGTTGCCAGTCTGTGTTCAGGAAAGATGCATCCCATATATGAACTTTTGGTTGCAAAATCACAGGGGATCGACGGGTAGATGGAGGAACATCAAATTAACCTTAACGAAGTTGGTTGCGAAGATGGGCTGTGGAAGGAAGTAGCTCAGAATCGTGTCCAGTGGCGGGCTCTGTTAGTGTAGGACGCCCAAATATCACATGCACTAGCTATTTCTTACAACTGACTTCCATAGTCTGGTAGAGGTTTAGAGACCTTTCGACATTACCTTCGTCTTCAACACATAAGAGTAAGCCAATTAAGCAGCAAGCGTGAGTGACCAGACTGCGCGAGGCTGCACAGAAGATACTGCAATACTCTTCGAACTCAATGTTATTCATAAAATGGTAAAGGTATCGCTGTAACAGGCAGTGGAGACCCATAGGTTTGTGAGGCGTCGAGGCCCACACATTTTCTAGACAATCGGCTCACAGATGGCGGCGATGTTGTCAGTCTTACGAGCCGGCCACCCTTTAGCCCCAGAAAGATTCCTGGTACTCATTTCTGTTAGAGGCTGAGTCGACCCCAGGGCCATAGTGCGGCTGGAAGGATTACGTCAATTGAAAAATCCAGTGACCTCATAACGATTTGAACCCGCGACCTCCCGGCTTGTACCATAATGTCTTAACCAACTATGCTACTGCTTGGCCCCAATACTATTCATACATTACATTAAAATATTGTCACGTGTATGAGTGACTATAGACGGGGTTGGATTGCTAATTGGCGTTACCGAATTCTTACACAACGTAACCTCTTTTCAGAGGTCTTCCCACACTTATGTTCCTTTTCGGTTGATATTTTAAGATTTTTCTGAAATCCTGTCAGAGCGCAATGTGTCAACTTGTCTTTCCTATTCCTTCTGCATTCACTACCTTCCACAACTGGTTAATTTGTAGTTCTCGTCTAATTTCTTCAGTTGTTTTACGGTCCAAAATAAAAAGAGTGGGCACATCCTAGAAACTGATGACCCAGACACAGACCTATACACGAGTCAATTGCCTAGGAAAGAAATAAGTAAATAAACCCGCACGATTGTGCCCCCCCTCTAAAAATGTTAATGATCGTCATTCCAATGGACCAAACTGGCCCGTTACAATCACAGAGCACAACTCTCGCATATTTTCAGAAGTTCTGCAAGCGAATTCATTATTAATGCCGGTTATATTAATGCAAAGAGCTCCGTGTGCATAGAAAGTTTTAAAAGAAATCTTGAGTTCCCTCGATGCTTGTAGGCATTTTAAAAGTTTACATTGACGGAGTTTATAAAGTGACATACCGGTATAAAAAGTTCGCAACATAAAAGAAAGAAGCAAAAAGAAATACAAATTAGGAAAGAATAAAATATTTCACGGAGCAAGAGTGGAACAGACAGGCCTCAGACGGCTGGCGTGTCTTACAGCTGTCGGACCGGAAAATTGGAAAACAACAGGAGAACTTTTGACAAAGTTGCGACAATTTAAGTGAACAAGAACGCTTATTAAACATTGCTGTGCACGTGGAATCGATACAACCCTAACTAACAAACTCGCTGGAAACGGAACACATACAGACAAGCTGACAAACACAGTCTAATCGTGATGCTTTATGAATGAGGCGTGAAAACGGAGAACTTACAGTAGAAAAATTATATGTAATTTCTGATTATTCAGAATATGTGACGCGTTGGCAGAAAAATGTCCTATAAACACACCGTGGTTTACGTTTTTCACAAATTGGGTTTCGAATGACATACTGGAAGCGGGTTTTCTGACGTAACGAAGGAGAAGACAAAATGACAGATAGGCCACGGTCAGCGGTGTCCCTCTGCTTCACAATACTGATGTTCTCTTTTCTGAATGATGCATTATTGTTTAACTATTTAAGCAAAAAGGTGTATGGGGAGTGGGTGAATAAATCCACGTCAGCGTCACGCCCCGGCCGCTTTACCCTCGGAGAAAGAGCCCCGGTAGCCATCGAAAGGGAGGCTGGGTGGGCCCCACGACCGGTCTGGACAACGTGGCTAAAAGAAAATTCTTAACCCTACCGGGACTCGACCTTCGACCCTTCTGTCGTCCAAAATGTAGCGAGTCGCTATACCAGCTCGTAATTATATTCTTAAAACGTTATATTAATTTATGGATTACTGGGTTGAAAGCTCACTTAACTCTGCTCGTAATTCACAGCTATCAATATATCAATCCAATCAGACACTTAAACTTGCCCTCACTTTTGGTAGCAGCATTTCTTCCACGGAGGAGTCTTCTGTTACACAAAACAGGTCCAGCTCCTGCCCCGCTGTGTCTCAACCTCAGTTCTGATGTACAGGCAGATGCCTCCTGTATAACATCACTTCCCATACTTTTCGGTCTGTCTCGGTGTGTTGCAGGTGGCGGCGTGTCACTGCAGGGTGCATGAGACCTACAAGCGCTGCTTTCCCAGCGCCGCTCCGCTGCTGCCTTGTAAAGCCTCGCGCCTCGAAGAGGTCGTCAAGCCGTGCAGGTGAGAGCCTCTTCTTAACCTCCTTTTCTTATTCTTCATTTTACCCTTTTTCGTCTTCTGCTTTGTTCTCTGTTACTTCCTCAACTTCCTATTCTCTTATCTCTTTCATCAACCTCTCGTTCTTCTAATTCTCCTTTATCATCTTCTTCTTCCTTTCTCCCCCTATATCCTCCTCTATTCTTACCCCTCCTTTGCTGTTTTCTTTTCCTCAACCTCTTCTCCATCATTTGCTTCTTCTTGTCTTCCATGCTTCAACTCAGTTCCTTCTGCACCCATGCCTTCTCACACTGCCTTCATACCATACCCAACCTTTCTCGACATCAGTCAGCATTCTAGAAGGTAACAACAATTTTAGAAATAAAGGAACATCTGTGAGGCAAGGCTGTACTGCTTGGCAATGCAATGGAGGCCAAGTGCTGGATTCCCATTACTTCAGTTTGAGATCACCCACCACCCAATGGCGTTCAGAATTTCACCGAGCAGAAGTCTGTCTCTTATACCACAGGTCCCCCTACTGAGCACTGGCCAATTATAACTCTTCATCATAAGGAGATAAGCATTCAGTAACTCAGCCACTTCCCACAGGGTATAACTGTTTCATCTTGTCCCCACAGTAGACAGCTACTGTTCCCTGCACACTCCAAACTCTTCCTTTCAAGGATTAGTGTAGAATATGTTGAAGCTGTTTCAGCATTTTGATATGCACGTACATTGCAGTCACAAGCTTCAGGATGAATATGAAGACAGTGGGTGCAATGTGCACCAAACTACTGGAACAGCTTCATCATACAACACACCTAAACCTTCAACGTCAAAGTTACACAATAAACACAGGGCGTTGAAAACTTAGGGACAAGAATATCTTGCTTTGCTTCTCACAACAATGATTTCTCCTAAAACATTAACTCAACTGATCTCTGTAATGGAGATCCAGTGTGTTCTCTTGGGAGTATAAACCAAATTTTTAAATATTATTGATATGAGCTTCAACCTTCAGAACGTTAATTATATCTCTATGTTACATTACAGCTCCAGAAACAGGTCCACAACCCTCGAACAGGAGAAGGAGAAAACCTCATCATCAAATCGATCCTTGCCATCCCTTGACACAACTGAGATGTATTACACTCTGGACTTCAGTGACAGCCAGAGTGCTCCTCTCATTCAGTAGAGGTGAGTGCCACGAACCTTACAAGTGCAGTTCAGTCTAGATGTAATCATACAATTTGCACATATCAAATTACAGACACACACACCAAAATATTTTGCATGGTACAAAATTTCTATTTTACACCCTACTCAATAAAAGTCTTGTTTAGAGTTGTCTGATTTTAATAAATTTATCAACATATAGCATTCCAAGATCCTACACTGAATGCCAGTAGTGTTGTTCCCATATTAAAAGTTCATGTAGTCACCACAGAAAATCGAAATTTTAAGAACTGAAGATACCACTAGTGGTACAAATTTCATACATAATTTCATGCAATTGGTCACAGTACATAACAACAATATGCAGGCCTTCATGAATTCTAGGTGCCATGTCACCATGACATCTACAATTTTTATGACCACTTAGAATTCTTCTATTACTGTCAGTACATGAATTATCGAAGATGACAGGCTGAATAATTTCTTCTTTCCTTTAGCCTATTCATATTTTTATTTCCTTCTCTTCTCTCTCCCTTATTGCATTCTTCCATTTTATTTATCTCGCCTGTCATTATTCCCCTCTTCTTGCCTTTCTTCCACCATCTTGTTCATACTAAAACAGGCCCCTCATTTCCATCATTACATTTCTTTATCTCTTTTTTCTCGTTATCCCCTTCCATATTTTTTTAATTCCCTTTTATTCATCCACCCTATCATCATTTACCTCCTGCCCTAGCATCAACAGGAGACAATTTACTTTCTCTCTACATCCTAGCAACAGCATACTGGGTTTCTCTGAAGGTGAGAGGAACTGACCATTATTTACATGCATATATTTGGCCTGTCCTTTTATTATAAAACGGAGAAAATTTCTCACCTGAAATATTTTCTTAATTCTGGTTCCTTGAAAATTCATGCAGGCCTGACAATGCCTGTAATTTAATCTTGAAATGGATGAAAGGGTAGACCCAGCCTGGCTGTGAAACTCCAATGGCCGCATCAAATACTCTACTTAAATCAGCCACACTTTCTAAAACCATTAACTCTTCTAACATTTTTGGTGTTAACTTGTCTACTGCACAGTTATTTTATATTTAACTGGTCAAGAAATTCCATGTTCTTACAGAATCCAACAATTCATAATCACAGAGTGTTGCATTGTGCCCAATCCTGTGCCAGTTCAAATCTTCATGCCCTATTTCTCTCACATGCATGTCAATATTATCCCTTTATGTCTCCCAAATGATCTCTGACCTCGCCAGTGTCACCTAAATATTACACTATCTATACAATTCACACATTCATTTGTCTTCATTTCCAGCAAAGGTCTAAAATGGAGTACAACAGCCACATTTGAAAGGGTCATGCATGCAGCATCACATAGTTTAGGACTAATAATGTTCAACACTACAAATCATCTCAGTAAACCTTCCTCCAAGAGGTGACAAGAATCCCAGAAATGGTCTCCTTACTCGTATAAGGCAAGAAATATCAAGATAGAAAGGATAAAACACTTCCAGACCTGTAATATGTTGCCACCTACATTTTTGAAGTGATACTAAAAGCCGACACAATAACTTGATATCAAAAGAACAATATAACTTCCTATCTACTGTGTTCATAATCTCGTTATTCCTTTCTTTGAGTGTGCATCCATTCCCATTATCTATGCTACCAATAACCACTTTGTCAGTTTTGTCCAGAAAATATTTATCAGTATATTAACTGTTCCAGCAACAGTACCCAAGCCAACTGAACCGACCCTCAAATTGCTACATGCAAAAAGCCTATGGTGGTAGAATGGGGTGGGGGTGAAGATAAATGCCAACAGAGAATATGTTTCATAGCTTATAGAATTAAAATAACAACAATAACAATAACAAAATTACTTCAAATCAAAATAATACTAATCAAGTTAAACCGAATAAACACATTTTGTATTGTGTCTTTAGATACTCACACTTAAAACAGTAACAGCGCTTTCACTGTTGTGGTCAACCAGATGTATACAGCAAGGGTTAAAGTTCTGACAGCAGTGACTATGAAGAGTGCGACTGTCTTGAGGTCTGATGTCTCGTATCTGGTAACAACAACAATAATTATTGTTCATCCTTATTCAGTGTGATGAATAAATCTGCTGGCCTGAACAAAGATGTTTTATATCAGGTGTGACATCTGATAAGTGAATATATGTTTCGAGGCCTGCACTCTCTCTCTCTCTCTCTACTTTATTTTGTGGACGTGTAACCTTCGTTCCATTGAAAGAAAGGATCTGAATGCAGCACAAAATAATTCATGTAAGTACTGGATCATATTTTAAGTTGTTGAGAATATTTAAATGCAATGAAATTTATATACTAATTTAGTATAAAATAAAATAAATAAATAAAATGCATAAAATAAATCTATTGTTGAACTGACCATGATCAATTATTTAGTGAAGCATCATGAAGTGAAAATACAAAATTACTGAAAAGTAATGTCAACAATATCAACCAATTCCTCTGCTAAGAAAGAATTTTTTGTGGATTTCATCTTAAGGTATTATTCAGCTACAGTGAAGTCTTCCCAGATGATCAACTGTGCCAATGAAAAGTTGATGCCTAACATTTCAAAGACTGTCTCTGATTCCACCTGGTATGATGAGTGTTCACAAGCTATAACTATGCACAAAGTTCTTGTTGGACCCAGCCCAGACTATGTGGCAATGGGGGGCAGAGTTAGACGGTCAATGATGTCCTATCCCAGCACAGACATCACTGACTACCTGACCCTGTTCGCTGTTCACCATACAGTCTGAGCTGGGGGACATGAAAGCTTCATGTTTAAATATAAAATGCAAACACAGCACTCCTCACATCAACCACTGGGCAGTCTCTGGCACTTTGGCCTTCAACTCAAAATTAATACAGTTGTTCGCCCAAAAAGACGTCAGTCATAGATAACCATTAGCTACAATGAACTGTAATGAACAGGGACTTACAGAAATATTTGGCTGTTGTCAGTAATGATAAAATTGCTACAAATGAAATTTGCTGAAACCTTGTCAAACAGGTGGCTTTTATACATGAGATCATCACGAAATGTGAAATTTAGAAAACTGTATCTGTTAACATTAACACTTTCTGTGAATTAGGGAAGAACTGCCAATACTGGATTTTGGTGGTGGAACACCTTGGTCCAGCTCACAGAATGCCACAACTCTGACGGAGCAAAGCTTAGAAACCACTGGCATATGTGTTCACATGTTAACAGCTGGGTGAATAGCACACCACCAGCTAACATAATGTTAATAGGATCCAGCTCATTACTGCATAAAGTGTGTACATCTCTAATAATGTGGATACTGTCCTGCAGTTTGTTTCTGTATGAGACCTCACTGCACAGCAAGCAATGCTGTTAACAGGCTCTTTCTCTTCAATTTATTTCTTTCTGATTTATCCAATGGCTAGTCAATTCCATTGACTAAGATTGTACAGCATTAAATTAAAAGAGCACAAGTGAATAACAAATCTGAAGAGCTGTAAGGAAGCAGCTGTGGGCCTAGGCACTATATGACCATCTGTCTGGAGGGGCTGAGAGAACCATGAAAACCTTTAGCCAGGACAGCTGGTCTTTGGGCCAAAATTTGAACCTGGGACATTCCAAATATGAAGCAGAAGTAATAACCATTTGACCATTACACTCAGCACAGTTTGTTCTCAAAAATGGATGTTAAGAATGGAAGATTACATTAGAAATTCCATAACAATTAACACTCTCCACAGAAAATGAACATTCTTCCCACGAACACGCAAAGGCCACCATAGGATGCAGTTGTGATACATTTCATTCCAATAAAATCCATCACCCCCATATGTATTATCCTCCCCTCTCCTCCTTAGCCTTCCAAGTTAATGTTTTCAATTAATATCTATTTTCTGTACACTTTCTTGTTTATCCCATCTGAGTAACATGTCCATCCCACCATATTACCCTTCATTTCGTCTTCCTAGTTATGTGATTCATTCCATTTATTCTTTAGCGAGAATAAGCTTCAGCTATGTCCAGTCATTTTGTATATAGTTTTAAGTCTTTCTAACAATTAGCGAAATTCACTGTTAAAACTGAAGGTACATGCTTATATCAAATTTTGAATTTTTATGAATGATGTCAATGTTATTGTAACAGGTGGGTATATTATATAAATAAGAGGTAGTCATGATGCTTCCTCAAGATACAAGAAAACAGAATAATGCAGACACTAAGAAAAACATACATTGCATAAAACATAATTTTTAAACAATGTTCTAAATATAAGTTAAGCATAACCAAATAAAATGCATTTTTTTTGTGTCTTCGATACAGCAATTCAATATACAGTTTCTAAATTTTAAAGTCCAATAGCACAGAATAAATTATCACACTGAAGAAACATATATAAATATAAAAGTGTGCTCAACCATTACACACAGGAAACGCATGGAAGACATGGAGGTAAACGATTATTTCATATGCAATACGCAGGAGGGTGTAGAGCATCTTCTTCCTGTACCACAATTGCAATATAAGACAAATAAATAATTTGGCTTTGAACTTTAATATTCTTAGACAATCTCATTTTGAAACTGTTCTGCCACATTCAAGGCAAAGTAAAGGAAAATGTCTATTGGGTTCTAATGGCTGCCTCTTAAAGATAGACTTGTTGAAACAGGTTCTCTTTTGTTCTAGGGACAGTTGAACCCTACTTTCCTGATATGCTTAGGAAGCACAGAACAATCAATTTGAAACTCGCACTGTTCATTAATTTTTTGACAAAAGTTTCACACTTCTTTCTTGTCCAAAATGCTAATATTATGCAATTCATAACTTTGTAAAATCTTAGAATAGTTTTTAGCACTTCATTTCAGGGTTCCTAAAGTTGATGTCTGAATAATATGACCAAATGTGTCCAAGAAATTGAAAAACAGGGTATCCAGAAAGTCACTGAGCCCATACTATCAACCTTTATCACACAAAAATACAAAGTATTAGCAATATATTCCACTACGGACATATGACTTTGAACCATTCACCAGCCATGTCAATTGTGCAAAAACAGAAACATGTACAGGATTCATTATTACTTTAAATATTGACCTTAGATATAGAGAAGCCATATAGGTTATTCTTTCCGGATTGTTGTGTTCTGGACTAATGAACACCACGCTAACTGAGAAGATGCACAAGGTTCTGATCTGGAGTGAAATTCTGTTGCAGAGGAACATGATATCCTTTGTGAATATGTTGCAATGTTATGGCAAATATTGGTAAAATTAAATCGAAAGCAACGGCAAAATTTTCCCCATGCATAAGTACTATGTCATCAAGACATATATTTGTATGTATTCAGAGACACTGACAGTAGAAAGAGGTGAATGATCAGCTTTGCATTTTGACTGGTTTATGGGCTGTGTGACTTTTCATTCACTCTGGATAAGGCAGATAACTTAAGGGTTCATCAAAGCACATCAGAGGAATGAATAATACATCACTTCATTCTGTTTATGTGCCAAAGTCATGTTGAATCTGTCTATATACAATATGTAGCTTAGGACAAATCATCATTATGTTATGTCACCATGCTCAACTTATAGTGACTGATGTTAACAATAATCGTTCTGAAATAATGTTCTTAATATAGAATTTTTATTGTTATTTACTGTTTTCACTGTTATATTGTAAACTACAGTATATATTATTGCAGTAGCTTCATGGTTTGCTCCCATCTCAAGACCTTTGTTAGGAAATTAAAACATGACAATCACATCAGATAAATCAGTCTGAAGACATCAGAGCAACTGCCTGTTTTAGGCAAGTCTGTCACTTTGCTCGGCCACTTGGCGGTAGTTGAGGTGAGAAACAGGGCATTAATGGCAGAAAATGTGACTTTTTATTCCTGAAAAATTCAAATATAAGGGTGACAAAAATTCAGAAACATTTTCTACACTCCTGGATCTTTGGGGACCGGAAGTGAAATGGTTACTATAAAAATACATGTTTGATCTCACCGAACAGTACTTCTGTCAAAATCAATTCTGCAATAAACACACTTCACTGCATTGCTCCAAGCAAGCAAGTCAAGGAATCTTTTGAATTGAAACATGTAAGGCGAATGAGGACTGAAGTGTTGTAAACTCCTATGTCACACTGGACTGAACATTTCATTAGCTACTCTGTAAGTCAAGGAAAGTATAGAATATTTATTACAAACGGGGAAAAATGAGTTCCAAAAATTGAGCAATATAATAATGTTTGTCTAAGTAAACTTATAGAATTAGGTAATTTTGAACACAATTTTACACCCAGGACCATATACAGAGAGTAAGGAGTGACAGTTCAGTCACGACCAAAAAAAAAAAAAACTTTGGGCAACAAAAATAGGATTTCTTTTTTTACAAAATTCAGATACAAAAGAAAGGTTTTATGATGGAGAAACCAATGACAACAGAACCTTTGATTTGTACTCTTTGTAAGAAATTAAAGTTTTTTTTTTTTTTTTTTTTTTTTTTTTTTTTTTTTTT